CCCTCGCCAGGTGGAGGGCAGCCTTCTCGACCCCGCGTCCACGTCTCGGATGGGGCCAGCGGACACTCCTGAGCCTTTTAGCCGAATGCGAGTGCGTCGGTGGCCACGAGTGCTCTGCAAACTGTTAAATAGCAGCGGCCCCATGTCCGTGAGCCCGTTCAGAAGACAAAACGGGCTGCGTCCCTCCTAGGGCCGCCCTTCCTCTCCAGGGAGCACTCTCTTCCGCTAGTTGGTAAATTTCTTATGTTAAACTCCCATTTCTTCTGTCATGCATGAAAATAAATTTAAAAAGTAACATGTACAGAAAAACAGGTTATGAAGAGGTTTCATGCATGCCACACAGAAGAAAATATTCTGTTTGAAGATTCCATCTTGCATTTTTAGAATGTCATTTATCCTGACATCAAATATTGGATATTTGCCTGTTGCTCAGTTTTCTTCTTGTATCTATTCACAGGGTTTGCTTCAGAATGTCCACTTAGTCTTCGAGAATTCTGTGGAAGACGTTCTGAGCAAGAAAGGTTGTCAGCAGGGCCAGGGAGGTAGGTGAGCTTTGGACAATGCGTCCATGTTTCACTTCCCGTCTTAGGGTTTCTCTTTGGCATGGGGTGTGTGTGCGTGTGTGCGCGCTAGTGAAGATTTAGGTGAAAATATTTGAATAAAGTACCATTATTATCTATGATGCGTCTATCAACTTAGACATGTCGAACTGTGAAAATGATAAATTTCTTAAAGGATTAATTTTGCATACATTTTAATAATCCAAAAAATGTCATTACACAAGCCGAAAATGAATAGCCGACACTTTAACATGATTTCAAATGTAGATGAGTTTTTCAGTATATTAATTTGAGCGTAAGAAAGTACCATAGATATTTGTCAAACTTGATTTGTAGACGTTGTCCGATAATATTCAGAGTCGTTGATTTCATCGTATTATGAAAATCTATGCTACTTAAATTACTGATGGATGATCTCACGTTGTCTGCTAGTTACAAATGTGAATTGTATTTCCAACCATATTTGGCTAGCATTTAGCTTGTGAAGGTCACTCTGTCAGGCTCTTAAAATGCGGTATGTCATTTAATCTTCAGAATAGCTTAGAGACAGGCACTTTCATCTTCCTCATTTCACGAGGACAGAAACTGAGGCCGGAGAAGGTTGTGCGAGGTGCTGAGTTTGCGCCCTGCGAGCCGTGGGCAGGCCCCTCCCTGGGTCTCGCAGCGTCCGATGCAGGGTTTTTACCTGCCCCGCGGTCCAGCGTGTGTCTTTTTTCATGAAGGCCACGTGATTTCAATTCTAAATTATGACAACGACAAGCTTCTTTTATGGGTCAACGTGCAGGCTGTGTAGGGTTTGGTGTCTTTGATGCAGAATTACCGTGAGATCCCGCAGTGAGCTTCAGAAGCGTGCGCTGTGCATGTCCCAGCCACTGTGCGCATCCCGCAAGCATCAGTCTCACGGAGACTCCGGGCCACCTTGCACGCCCCACCAGCTGGCCGAGTTTCTCCCAGTGCCGCCAGCCTCCGCTGCTGCGGGAGTCACCAACTGAGCAGGGCCCCTCTCACCGTGAGGTTGCGCCTTTCGGCCTGTTGTCTGTGACGTGCGGGTGGGGAAGGCACAAGGCCGTGCTTTGGGGAGGGCTGTGGTGCGAGGACAGACACGTCCGATCTCGGATACGCTCACTCGCCCGCCTTCACTGGCCAGGGTGGTTGTAGCTCAGGACCAAATCTCACCCCTGTCTTCTAGTTGCTGCTAAAATGCCACCTAACAGTCCTGAGGATCAAGTCCGTGCCTTTTGGGGGTGGGCCACAGTCACTGAAAAAGCAAAGCGTTCTGAAGAGGCGGGACAGCTGTGTGACGTCGGAGACCGAGCCTGTAGGGACAGGAGAGGAAGGGTGTGTGGGGGGCCCTGGTGCGAGGAGGACCCGATTTTACTTAGACAATGAAGCTGCGCATGAATCCGAGAGTCCCCTCTGCCAGGTCGGCAGTTAGAACCTTGTGACGGGGAAGAGGGAAGGGACACGTTTTATTATCCATGAAAGGAGGATGGAAGTTGGGCTCGAATCCTAATCCTGGCCCTGACCCCAACCCCGACGCTGCGTAAGGGGCCTGTGTTGTCCGAGGGGTGACTGGCCCACAAGCAGCGCCGTCTCGGCTCGTGAAAGGGCTCAGACGTCTGAACAAGGCAGTTCAGTCCCCAAGGTTCATGGGTTCGTGGCGGTGGGACTTCTGAGCACACTTTTTTGCTGCAATAATTTTTTAAATTTGTTATATTTTAGATACATACATATGCATACGTGTGTACTTCCACTAATATATACAAACATTGTTTTCATAAATAGAAACCATACTCTTAGCAGTGTCCCTAATCACAAATTTGTATCGTCATTGGATGCGGGTCGAGTTAAACTAGAACGGGGTGGCCGACGGCCTGCTGGGTCTGTTGTCGTGAGGAGTGGTGGGGGCACCAGCCCGCCGTGCAGACACGGTCCCCAGCTCCGTGTGAGCAGACCCCGTGTGCTTGTGTGTTTTACCGACGCACCATCCTAGCGGGCGCGGCTTCCTGCAATGGCCAGGTCAGGGATCCCCGGAACTGCTGAGAGCCAACGTTTCAAAGTGACAGGAAGCTCCCAGACCTTCTGGAAAAGCAGATTTACACAGAAACCTAAGTGTTCCCTCTGGGTGTGGAGTAAGTAGGATCTGTACATTTACGTCTCTCTGAGAACATCTCACAGTCGACTGTGGGTCGGCCACTCGGAGCTCTGGGTCCGCCGGGGCCCATGTGACGGCCATTAAATTTCCATTACGCTCCTGCACCGGCCACGCCAGACTCAGAGAAAGTTGGGCCTACAGGAGCAGCTAGTGGGTGAGCTGGTGCTTGGGAATGGCGTGAACGTTTTTACTGTTTGTTAAAGACGAGAGCAACCTCGCGAAGGGCCGGACGTTAGGGTCGCACACGGGGAGTGTTGGCAGAAGCCAGGGACTCGCAGGCCGGGGGAAGGTTCCTGTTGGGTCAAACCAGACTCACGGCAGGGCAGGGAGTGAACAGATATATGTACTACTTTTGGCTTAACTAGTAAAGGAATGAAAAATAAATATCCTGGATAAGTTAAAGATTCTTTTTAAACAAATGAAAGTAAATACAGTGAGTAAAATCCACTCAGACTCCATCTAAGCGAGCTCCCCAATCCCCCATATATACATGCAGCTGTTAGTATGTTGGTATTTATGAGGTTGCACATGCTCAGAGACATAATGGATTTGAGGGAAGCTTCTAGCTTAGTGTGAATTGCAACACGGCTTTTAACCGAGTAACAAAAGCTTAATAATGGAATGCCTGGCAGAATTGTGAGATTTACAAGTAATAATTCAGCAGCGATGGAATATCTGAGAAAAAAAATTAAGCATTTCAAATATGTGACCATCACCTGAAGAGGAAGCCAGACCCTGGGTGAGAACAGCCGTGATGAGCCTGCCGGGAGCCCCTGCCAAGCCGTGTCCCAGTGGCCTGCGGGGCCGAGGAGGCTCCGGGGTCAGTCCGTGAACTGTAGATCACACCCACACGTTCGTGAACTGGGGCGTCAGGCGGCCCGTGGGCTTCTGGGACCACGAAAGGCGGCCTCCTTGCGGGCCCGGGTTTGTCAGCGGTGGTGTCTGCCCTGCCCCCAGGAAGGGGCCCTGGGCTGGCAGAGCCCCGGGTGGAGGCGGGCAGGACGTGGGGTCTCCAGGAGCTCGTCCCTTGGAGCAAGAAGACGACGGGACTTGCTCTGATGGAGAACAAGGAGCCACGGGAAAGAGCGTTCAGGATGGAAAGAGGGAGCAGTGAGGAGTTGGAAATATGAGGTGTGCTCTTGGAGAAGGAGATTCGGATGGGGCTGACAGGAGGGGATGGGTAGGAAGCCAGAGAGCTGTTGCCACCCCCGAGCGTGAGTGAGCTGCTTGGTGCTTGACCCCGCGTGCGCCCTGGCACAGGTACACGCTCTAACACTCCGCGTTTCCTGTTGCTAAGCCTAACCTCTGCCCCCCTCCTCTTCGAAAGCCGGGTCTTAACTGGAGACAGCCGCCTGCAGCTCTCTTGTTGGTCTCGGGCGTCATCTAGCACGAGGCCACTCAGGGGCCGCCGCGGGTCAGCACCGCAGCTGGGGCACCGCCATGCGCACCCAGGGCGGGGGTCCGCGGCGGCCGGTCTCTCACCGTCTGTGCTGTGCTTCCGCAGCGGAGCTCAACGCCATCAGCGAGAACACGGAGACGCTGCACCTGAGCCCCCACGTCCCGACCGAGTACGCGGGTGCGGGCGCGGGGCAGAGGCCACTCGTGTGCGAGCACTCCTGCGAGGAGCTGGGCAGCATGATCAGCGAGCTCTCCGGACTCCACGTCATCGTGAACCAGCTCCACGAGAACCTGAAGAGAGTGGTGGGTGCCCGAGGGCAGGGCCGGCCGCGGAGCGCAGACGCGCTTTGTGCTTGGCGCCCTCCGCCAGCAGGGTCTCTGGAGGACCAGGCGGGCTGCGTCTGGAAGTCGCCGCCCGCAGGGGAGGGTTACTGCTGGGCTCTGCAGCTGCGGGAACTTGCATAGACGTTAGGGAGCGTTTCGAATGCAGACATGGGCCTCAGATACACAGTCTTCAAACTAAATTCCTAAGTTTGAGGAATTTATCTTCTCAGCCAAAGATATATGTATAGGAAGTGCTTTTATTGAAAGGATCGGTAGTGGAGGAGTAGCCTCAGAGGTTTGAGGAGCACGGCCCGTCCTTAAAGAGGGGATGTCACCGTGAGGCTGACGTGAGGCAAATCCACTTGTGCCCGCACAGCCCGTCCGAGGAGGGACAGGTGCCCAGGGTGCCTCGGAAAGGGCGACGTGACGTAGGAAAAGGGACCTGCAGGTGACGCGGTTCTCGCGGTCATGTTGCCCTGCCGTGTCCGGTGCCTGAGCTGAGGTGCGGCCGTGGCGACGAGAAGACGCCAAGTAAATGAAGCCAGGAGAGGGCAGCAGCGGGCAGTGGGGGCTGGGGGGCCCAGTTCCTCCTTTTCCCGTTCTCAGGGCCGCTGCGGGGAGCATTTCCCAGGAGAGGGTGCTGAGACGCTGTGCCCGGGGCCTCATCCCTCCCGCCTTCCGTCTCCACTTGGAAGGGCCCGGGCGTTATTCCGATCCTGGTCCGGATGTGGCAGGACCAGCACGACCTCCGCTTCTCTGGGGGCAGGTGGACAGGGCCCCCCAGCAGCAGAGGCAGAGGCCACGGTGCTGGCTCAGGAATCAGCCAGGCGATGTGGTGCAGCTTCCAGAGCTTTCCACCAGGCTTTGGCGCTGGGGCGGTCCTGGGAAGCACAGGTTACCGCGGCTCTCCCCGTCCCCCCGCCCAGACTTCGGTAGAGAGCCGGCCGTCTGCTGGGGGGGAATTACAGAGACTGGGTCTATTACTAGAGAGGCTGCGGCGCTTGCTCGTGTGGGCTGCGTCAGGCACGTCACCTGTCATCCCGCCGTGCGACACCAACGCGGAGCACTTCCACTTCCGTGGAGCGCCGGTGGCGCCCGCACAGCGCGGCTGACCTGGGAACAGAGCTCGGGACGGAGCTGTCCTTGAGTTCACCCTCCAATTGGGATGGACTCGCAGGACCAAGCTACTAAACTTGGGTCAGGGATTAAATTCGTCAACTCCCTGAAACTGCGCCAAAAGCGAGAACGGGGTTGTCTCTGTGCGTTTGTGCATGAGAAGGTCCGCGTCGTTCCGCGGATTCTCAAAGGCTCCAAACCTCCAAGTCAGCAACCGCCACTTGGGGGGAAAAGGTGACACGTGATATTGTCCCAGGAAGATTGCTTACAAGGAGGGAGGGAAAACACGTATTCAGGGAGATGTGGTGCAGTTTTCATTTACTTGATTTTTCTTAAACTTGCATCTTCTGGTCCAGTCTGTGACCCTCGAGACAGCCAGAACCGTCCCTGCCAATCGGCAGAGCAGCACTTGTCACACTTGCTGAACGGAGGGTGAATGCTCTAGTGAGTCCACGCCAGTTTTTAGCCGTGGTGGGCTGTGCCTCCCGGCCGCCCCTCGGTCGCAGCCCGGCCAACGGCCCCCTGACGCCTGAGGCTGCGTAAGGGGAGGTCTTTCGCGGGTCTAGATGTCGTCTACCTTCGCGAGGCTCTGCCGTCTTCCTGCGGGGTTTGCTGCACGCCTGGTGGTTTCTGCCGCTTGACCTTGGAGCTCTCAAACTCGGGACGAACGTTGTTTTTCGCCCATAAGCGAAGGCTGAGCATGGGGTGCTCTTGTCTGTACTTACATGTTCAACTTTCTCTTCCAGTCGAACGATAACCAGTTTCTCTGGGAGCTCGTCGGTGGCCCTCCTAAGACCAGGAACGTGTCCGCTTGCTGGCAGGACGGCCGCTTCTTCGCGGAAAACGAAACCTGGGTGGTGGACAGCTGTACCACGTGCACCTGCAAGGTGAGAGCCCAGAACGTCTGTTCTCTCAGGAGCAAGAAAGCGCCGTGCGCTTCTTCTTAAGGCGCTCTTAACGCACGGCGATGTTCGCTGGCTGCCTGCGAAACTGTGCTCGGATGGGAGGAGACCTGCGAGTCAGACCAGGGGTGCAGGTGACCTCAAGGTGACTTGAGTCAACCTCTTTGCACGGAGGGGAACCAGACCCGGAGGGGAGGACTAGCCAGTGTCGTGTCCCCAGGTGGTTGAGGCAGAGCCGGGGTGGAGAGGCCGGGCAGGGCTCTCGCTCGTCCCTGGTCCCACTGGTTCTGGCACAGTCGGGGGCCCGCAGAAACACCGGGGAAGAGCAGGTCACTGTCGGACACGTGAGGGACAGACAGCTTAGTGTCTTCTCTTTATCGCATCCTTCCTTCTGTCCTGCCACGATACGTGGACGGCTCTGCTGTGTCCCCCTTGCTCAGTGGTGGAGGAAGGGAGCAAAACAGGTTAAGAGCCGTCTCTGAGCCCCAGTGAGAGGAAGAGATGCCTTTACGTCCCATCTGACCGCATCCGCCTGCAGGACAGGCCAATCCACGGCAGGCCTCGCCCCAGCGCCTGTTACCGTCAACGAGTGTTCTAGGGGTACCTTTCTTTGCTTACAGAAATTTAAAACCATCTGCCACCAAATCGCTTGTCCCCCAGCGACCTGCGCCAACCCCTCCTTCGTGGAGGGCGAATGCTGTCCGTCCTGCTTCCACGGTGAGTACCGCCGGCTGCCGTCGCGGTCTCTGCTTGCTCAGGGCTTTGCTGCTGTTTGTCTACCTGTCCCCCTGACCAGTGGCCAGAGCGCACTTTGAAAGTCCTGGGAATTCGGGGGCTGGAGGCCCTGTCCTGCCGTGTGGCTGTCAGAGAGGAAGCCCAGCCGTGGGGACCGGGCCCGTCAGGGAAGAGCCTGACTCTCCAGCCCAGAGGCAGCCCTGCGCGTAAATACCAGCCGCGAGCCTGGGACATGCTCACGTGTGGCCGTATCGAGACAGAGTGGTCGCGGTTGCACACCTGGTGGAAAATGCTGTCGGGAAGTGACCAAGCCAAAGGCCACTCCCAAGGGGGCACCCTAAGCAAAGGACATACATCCCAAGGAGCAGAACCGGGGTTCAGGGCGGAGCTTGAGGCCAACGTTGCTGGGGCTCCCGGCACGAGCGGCGACTCAGTGTACTTGGAAAGACTGAGCTGGCGCCAAAGCCGCGTGGGTCTCCGTGCTGCGCCCAGGCCTGTGCCCCTCGCCCCCCAGCTGGCCCTGTGGGCCGTGCCTGGTGCTCCTGACTCTGAGCAGCCCCTGGTGCCAAGGCCCCTGACGAGATGCTCAGGCCGCCAGGTCTCTGTGGCCCTGACTGTGCGGCCCTCGTCCCTACGTAAGCCGGGCACCATCCCCCAGACATTCTCAGTGTCACCCGGCCCAGGAACCTGGGTGCATGTGGACAGAGAGTGGGTCGCAGAGGAGCCCGGCAGAGCCACTGCGATTTTGAACAAAAAGTGATTTTTTTCTGAGTTTCTGGTACCTTATCTGTAAAATGCAGAAGAATTATCCCCAATCCACAAGGTTAGTCTCACGATGAAAATCAACTGTGCGTGTACGTGAAGGTGCCTGTCGGGTACTCCCAAGGTCGTCTTGCTCGTTGCACGACACAAAGACATGATTCTGACGACCAGAGGCCCAGGTCAGAGCAGAGGAAGGGGTCTGGGGATACAGGGAGCAGAGTGTGCAGAAAAGGCCTCCTGGGGCCCTTTCTCCTGCTTTCCGGGAGGTTTGGACATAGCACATTCCCGGGTGAACCTTTCACTGTTTGCGGGGAGAGCTCTGCTCTCTCTTTTAGGGGCTGTAATTACCTGTGAAGAATTTCTTTGCAGGGAATTGCCTTTTAATCTAACTTGTCTCAATTTAAGTTATTTGGAAATAAATTAATGGCAATACTTGAAATGTTTCATTATTTATGTAACTCAGCAAACAGGCTAAAATGGAAATAAATTAAGTCTTAACTTTAATGAGCCTCATGGAGGCATGATTCAGCGCCCTCTATTGTAAGCTAATTCTAAAAATTTACCAAATGAGTCCTCCGGACACACATGGGTCAAACTGTCCCGACACTCGGATGGCAGACGCTGCTGTGGGTTGTGCCTGTCCTCGGAGGGCACCCCCGGGCACCTCCTCGGCCAGCAGACCTTTGGTGCCAGAAGTCGGGGAGCAGCTGCCCCGAGCCCTGGACGGCTGAGCTCTGACCGAGGCTGTTTCCTGCGCGTCCGCTGTTGGCGGCGCGTCCGTGCGGGGGGCTCACGGCACCGTGTCTGCTTCCTCTGGCCAGCGCTGGACAGTGAGGAGGGCTGGTCTCCGTGGGCAGAGTGGACCGAGTGTTCCGTCACGTGCGGCTCCGGGACCCAGCAGAGAGGCCGGTCCTGCGATGTCACCAGCAACACCTGCCTGGGACCCTCCATCCAGACGCGGGCTTGCAGCCTGGGCAAGTGCGACACCCGCAGTAAGTGCCGGGCCCGGGTCCTCCTGCCGTGGGGGGCGGGGTCGGGTACCTCTCGGCCATTTGGGGGGCTCCTGGGGGACACTCGACCGTGTGCAAGGGTCCCGGCCAGGACAGGGTCCTCTCCAGCTGCTCGTCGGGAAGGCGAACAGCTGGCAGGGCTCAGCCCGAGACACCAGCCCCTCTGCTTCTCCCCGTTAGTCCGGCAGGACGGCGGCTGGAGCCACTGGTCGCCTTGGTCTTCGTGCTCCGTGACCTGTGGGGTCGGCAACATCACGCGCATCCGTCTCTGCAACTCCCCCGTCCCCCAGATGGGGGGCAAGAGCTGCAAAGGGAGTGGCCGGGAGACCAAAGCCTGCCAGGGCGTGCCGTGCCCGAGTAAGTGGGTGACGCCGGGACCCAGGGTGGCGGGTGCACGGGAGGTTCCCAGTGAGCAGCTGCAGCGAGAGCGGGGCCTGGGTGCCAGGCCTGCTCCTGCCCAGCCCGGTGGCAGAAGGGCTGCCGTCCCTGGGCCTGGCTATTTCCTGGAGCTCCCGCTTTGGGATAATGCCACTCAGCTGTGCTCAGCACTCACCTCGTCCGAGCTATCCCGACTTCCTGTGTGTTCAGCCCAGACTGCACGTAGGCACCGCCCGTCCTCCGTCGGGGGCACCGAGAGCTGCGGAGCTGTCTCGGGAGTGGGGGGCCAGTAGGTGCTTCCCTGGGTCTGGGCAGGCTGGCGGCAGAGGTGGCCGGGCGCACACGGCGCAGAGCCCCAGGGACTTGCTAGGGGGGCCCGTCCATGGCGCGCACTGATGGTGGGAAAAAGGAGAACACGGGGCAATTGCTCTCGCGTCCGAACTCTCCCCACGATTGGTACAAATTCTTTACGGTACAATCCAGTTTCATGCAACGCTCAGAGCTGGGACCCTCCCCTGGACGGCACCTGGGGAAGAGCTCTGGGCCTCCAGGTTCACGGGGGGTGTGACCCTCTCCCGGGGGCAGAGCACAGCCGCGGGGAGCCTGAACCGGACGTGAGGACTTGGCGCCCGCACGCTCTGGCCACAGTGCAGTCCCGGCAGAAAGAGCCCAGATTTTTGCCGTGTGGGGAGCAGCGCGGCTCTGCTGTCCCCTCCGGAGTCAGCGTGATCGCGTTCCCGCCTGCGTGACCCTCCTCTGAGACCCCGCTTGGCTCTCCCCGCAGTCGACGGCCGCTGGAGCCCCTGGTCCCCGTGGTCGGCCTGCACCGTCAGCTGCGCCGGAGGGATCCGGGAGCGCGCGCGGGCCTGCAACAGCCCCGCACCCCAGCACGGCGGCAAGGCCTGCGTGGGCGACGTGACCGAGCGCCAGATGTGCAACAGGCGGAGCTGCCCCGTAGGTGGGTGCGCGGACCTGCGCCGCCGGGGTGGTCTGGAGAGACACTGGGCTTTATTCTGATGAGAAGCGCAGACGTTTCGGGAAGTGCGTAGGAAACACAGGAAAGTCAGTTACTCCCAAACCGTGCACCGGTAGTGCTTCGGCAGCCGTGCTCCGCGTCCCTGCGTTTCCACGCAGACGGGGGAGGCAGCGTGGTGAGGGCGCCGAGTGTCGTGGGAGTCACGGCACGCGCTGTCCTGACCCACGCGCCCTTGGAGATGGTGTCGCCATGGCCGTCCAGCACACCCGCGTGGCCGTCAGCAGGATACTCTGGCTGCGCGGTGGGGGACAGCCAGAGGGGCGCAGGGGCCGCGCCTGTCGGTGGGGCGGGTGGTGTCTGGACCGTGGGGCTCACTCTTCTCCTCCCGGCCAGACGGGTGTCTGTCCAACCCCTGCTTCCCCGGAGCCGAGTGCAGCAGCTTCCCCGACGGGTCCTGGTCCTGCGGCTCCTGCCCGGTGGGCTTCCTGGGCAACGGCACCCACTGCGAGGACCTGGACGAGGTGGGTGCCCCTGCCCCGGGCAGCAGGGCCGCGCGGAGGTCGGGAGCGTCCGCTCACGCGTGCGTGTCCCCGCAGTGCGCCCTGGTGCCCGACGTCTGCTTCTCCACCGGCAAGGCGCCCCGCTGCGTCAACACCCAGCCCGGCTTCCACTGCCTGCCCTGCCCGCCGCGCTACCGGGGCAGCCAGCCCGTGGGGGTCGGCCTGGAGGCGGCCAGGACAGAGAAGCAGGTGCGTGAGGACGACCTTCCTGAGGGTTGTTAAAGCTTTGAAAGATCAGGCGAGGCCCGAGAAGTGGAAAAGGTTAGAGGAAGGGAGGGGCTCGCCTCGGGGAGGCTGGGGCCCCACGCCCAGCCCCGTGCCGGTCCCCTCGGTGCGGGCGGTTAGATGCACGAGCGTCACGTGAGCGGCTTTATGTGTCCGTGTCCTCGCGTTGTGAGCCACGGGGGCCTCAAAGAGGACGTTTGCGTTGCTCACGGATCAGGCCTTGGAATCTCATCTGGAAAGAGCAGAATTTTCGGCTCCTGGACTCTTGCCCAGGCCGCCCTCCCGCGTCCCCGGGTGCTCGGCTGCCCGCGGCGGGTGCCCGACGCCTGCCGTAACCGACTGTCCCCAGGTGTGTGAGCCCGAGAACCCGTGCAAGGACAAGACGCACAGCTGCCACAAGCACGCAGAGTGCATCTACCTGGGCCACTTCAGCGACCCCATGTACAAGTGCGAGTGCCAGACGGGCTACGCGGGCGACGGGCTCATCTGCGGGGAGGACTCGGACCTGGACGGCTGGCCCAACCTCAACCTGGTCTGCGCCACCAACGCCACCTACCACTGCGTCAAGGTGAGGGCGCGGCGGCCGGGAAACGGGGCTGCGGGTGTCTCTGTGCCCCCTTCGTGGGGTCGGGGGGTGGCTGGGAGCATATCCCAGGCGTCCTGCCCGACGGGCTGTGACCCCCAGGTCGAGTTCTGTCCCCTCAGTCCCCTCCCCTTCCAGGGGTCACTGTGAGAACCGCCCTACTCTGCCCTGTGGCCGGGGTCTCCCCGACACCTGTCCCCGGCACACGCTGCAGGGAGGCGGGACACGAGTTCCAGGGTGGAGAGGCCGAGCTGTCCTCGGGCCACTTAGAAGGGAGTAGTGGACGTTTCTTCACGGAGACGCAGGAGCCACGGCACGTGAGCGCTCAGCCCCCAGGAGGACGAGCTGCGTCCGTGGCCACCGTAACAAACACCCACAACCTGGGCCTGAAAAGGACATTCACTGTCCCTCAGCTCTGGAGGCGACACATGCTGGGCCGGGCGCTGGCAGGGCCGACTCCCTCAGGGGCCCGGGCAGGAGCTCCCCGCCTCGCAGCTCCACGGGCTCCAGGAGGCCTCTGCCTGCCCCGCGTGTCACTGTCCCCAGACTCCGCTGCCTCTCTCCTGCGGGGAGGCCTGTGGCTGTGCTCAGGGTCCCCTCCAGGACCCTTAGCCTAACGGCGTCTTTCACCACGTGAGGTGGCAGCCACGGGCTCCAGAGATGAGGGCCTTCCTCCCACAATGGTCAGTGCGGCTTATGCCTTAAGAAGGTCAGAAGTGTAAGTGCTACAAACTTACGAAGAATCATTTGAAAGCGTAAATGTGTTCATTTGATACTTAATCATGGTGAATTTTGTGTAGCACAGTTTTGATTTTAATTTTCTCTTTCAGTCTCACTTGATTAAAAATGGCAAATGTTCACTGAAACAAGAAATGGCCAGCAAGGGAGGCGCAGACTCCACCCTGCGCCCCCTCTTGCCCCCCCGGCCCTGCGGTCCCGGGCTGAGCGCAGACGCAGCCGGGCCAGGCTGCAATAGGGACATCCTGAGCGTTATCATGTGTGGGCGTGAAATTTCAGAGAGGAATTTAACAGCTTCCAAAACGGCCCAGCATAACCCCAAATTCACATACGCAACATCTGAGGACCCAGATTTACATGTGAGACCCAACCAGACAGCCCCACACGCTGTCCCGCTGTCCCCACTGCCGTCGTCAGCATCTGCACGGTGCAGCCGAGTTGCGGCGCAGCCGGGTGGAAACAAAGCACCTCCCGTCGCTTTTTCCCGCGGAGACGGGAACTAGCAAATGACGTGCAGTTCTGAGCCTTGGTTGCTAACAGGTCACGGACACCCTCAAAGGGCTCCTCCCTTGGAGGGTTTTGGCTAGCGAGGGTCAAAAGTTCACGAGCTTTGGCCGTGCGGTTTATGAGTCGATGTCCGTGGGAGGAAGGGGCAAGGAGCCTGCGTCCGCGGCACGTTCCACGGAGCGGGAGGTCCGCGCTCTGCTCTTGCCTGTGCGGTCATCCGCGACCTCCCGGGCTCTGGGCTGGAGCGCAGGCTTCTTTGTCTCGGGCACCAGACGTGATGACGTCCCTTCCAGGGCGGGACTCTAGCCTCTGGCCGCCCGTCGGGGCAGAGGTCGGCGCCCGCGTCCTCACGCTGGACTCGCTGTTGTGTTGCTCCGATGTTTCGAAAGAAGAGGCCTTTTCAGAACGATTTCACGACTATTGTTCTCTCTCTAATGACAGGACAACTGCCCCCACCTGCCAAATTCGGGGCAGGAAGATTTCGACAAGGACGGAATTGGCGACGCTTGTGACGACGACGATGACAACGACGGCGTGAGTGACGAGAAGGTAGGGCGGGCCGCGGGCCGCGCGCCGGGCGCCGTTCCCGGTTTCAGGAGTGAGAGGCTGGGAGGGGGCACCGAGCTGTCCCAGGCAGCCTGCAAATGCGACGCCGCGGCCGTGGCGGGTTCCCGTGCGCAACTCCCCAAAGCCTCTCGTAGGGTCGACCGTCCGCAAAGGAAGACGCGCTGGGCGCCGCCTGCCTTCAGCGCTCCGCTGCGCGCACGTTCGGCGGTTTCATTTGCTCTTCACCCACAGAAAGGCGCTTATCCGCCCTCTCCCCGGGGGAGCCAGCGACCGGGGAAGCTGACTCCACAGCGAGCCACGTTCCCGCGTTTGTGGGGACATTTAAGATATTGCACTTTGCCGAGACAATCGCTGCACACGATTTCTGACACAGTATCTGATACAGTATCCTCGGGTACTGATTTAACGCGTTGGTGGAAAAGCACGGTTGCAAGGATAGAACAGTTTCATTCACGGCCTCCTCCCCTCTGACCTCGTCCACTCACCGACGCGCTCGCTGATCCCCGCCCCTGTCTCACAGTGAAATGTCTGCCGCCGCGACATGAAGACAGGCGCATGAAGGGTTATGGATGTTTGACGCAGAGAAAGCGCTTGGCTGGGGCGAAGGGGATTCTCCAAATCTCTGTTGCTGCCTCGATCTGGTTTGGGGGCCCCACGGAGGCCGCCCGCGCGTCCCTCTGAACCCCCCACTTTGTCCTAGGACAACTGCCAGCTGCTCTTCAACCCCCGCCAGTTCGACTACGACAAGGACGAGGTCGGCGACCGCTGCGACAACTGCCCCTACGTGCACAACCCCGCGCAGATCGACACCGACAGCAACGGCGAGGGCGACGCCTGCTCCGTGGACATCGACGGCGACGGTCGGTTCCTCTGGGGCCGCGGACGCCATGTTCTGTCCCGGGTTTCTTTGCCGAGCCCAGTTCCATCTCTGTGCTCACACGAGAGGAAGCGATTCCTTGAGCTGCTCCCCTGGGAGTCCGTCGTCCTCGGCCCTGTCGGGTCCCGGCCTGGGGACTGCCCTGTAGGACACTGCATTTGTCACACCCCTGTCTCTGTCCTAGCCGCGGAGCCCCGCGCCCTTCCGGGACTTCTCATGGTATTTTCTCCAACGCGCCCCCTTCACCCGAACCCCAAGAAGCCGTCCTCCATCACACTGCCTCTCAGAGCCAGGGGTCTGTCCCTCAGCCTCTGCGGGGACATCTGCTCTGCGCTCTAGTCAGTCTGCGGGGTGCCCTCACAGGGGCTGGGGTCCCGTCAGCCAGGACCCTGCGGTCCCATCGTGGGGACCGCGGACACTGCTCTGGGCCGGCGCTGTACCTGGAGATGCCGGTGGCCTCAGTGAACGAGCCCTGCGACCCACAGTGTCACCGTCACTGCTGGGTCCTTCCTTCTGTCGGGTGTCTGGGGACCAGGGAGCGATTCCGTAGGTCCGGGCTCTGGCTCCCTCTTGCAGGCCCGTCCCCAGCCCCGGCTCAGCCTCGTCCCTCCGGCCCCCACTGACCGGTGTCCTGCCCCGTGGCTATTCCTTGGTGCATCTGTTCACCTTTTCGTCCACGCTGTCTCCAGGGCAAGTCTGCACAGAGCTGCGCAGTCGGGAGGCTCCTCCCACGCCTGATGTGGGCGGTGTCGCGGATGCGCAGACGCTGGGTCTCCAGCTCCAACACCCTGGTTTTTATGGCCCTTCCTCTCACCTTGAACCCCGTGTGTGATCTCTCCCCCACCCCAGCTTCCACTGGCCAGGCAAGGCTGCGTCCTGACGGGTGACACTCTGCTCTGTCACCGGGGCCTGTCAGCAATGGCACTATTTAGGCCACCGCTGACGCAGGCTTCCTCATAACTCCAATATCAAAGGAATTTGTGTTCTGTGTTCAGATTTCTTGAAATAAGATATTGCACCAAAAACCCCGTCGGTCTCGACCGCTGCCGTTTTCCTACTAACGCGCGTAGGCGACGAGCCCGTGACTGAAGCCAGCGAGCTCCCAGGCGCTCCGCTCAGCACGTACTTTCTGGCTGGAAACCGGGCGAGCAGCCGACCTGGCCAGCTCAGACGTCCACGCCGGGGGCACGTGTGGGGGCCGCTTGCTGTGTGGCGCCGCCCGGAAATCTCCACGGGCCGGTCCTATTTTAATCTAAGGGAGCCTGGATTTTGGTGGGAAATAGGTCATACATTCTCCCACGAATCCAGTCGTTCTTACGTTTTACTGTGTTCTTAGGTTTTAAGATTATTTTTATGTGCTAGTTTGGCTGTAAGCTGTCGATGCGGTGGGAGAGTGATGGCTTCCTCCAAACTCAGCGTGACCCTGGTCTTTCCCTGGATACCGACAGACGTCTTCAACGAGCGGGACAACTGCCCCTACGTCTACAACACGGATCAGAGGGACACGGACGGCGACGGCGTGGGGGACCACTGTGACAACTGCCCCCTGGTGCACAACCCCGACCAGGTGAGCTGAGCCCCTGCTGACACGTGCACCTGAGCCGCCCTGTGAGCTCTGCCCGGCACGACGGCCAGGGGTTTCTAGGTGTTTCTGCTGAAAACAGTCCCTGAACTGAGACCCCAGCACAGTTCTGTGTCTCAGTGGTGACAGGCCACACAGATGATGACAAAGGTTGTGTCTCGCGCGACTCTATCCGTGTCTCCCCGCGGCAGACGGGGACCGGCCTCCCTGCCAGGTTGCCTTTGTGACACAGGCGTCGTGGTCCGTGGAGCATAATGTAGCGAACGGTGTAAAAAGACACCTAACGACGAAGTAGTTGAATGTTCCCAGTGAAGCGAGCCCTGCGGAGCGTTGGCGCCGCAAGGAGAGGTTCCCGACCCAGTCCCGGCTCTGGCGGGGACGGCGCTGCTCCCCCGCCGGCCACTCCCTCTCCTCCGCCACGGCTGCCTGGCCATGCGATGGGCCGTTGGCGTTCAGTCCCGCGTCTGCAGGGTCCTCTCCACTCGTCCAACCCGTGTCCTAAGCCGTCTCCCTCATGCCCGACCCCAGACCGACGTGGACAACGACCTCGTGGGCGACCAGTGTGACAACAACGAGGACATCGACGATGACGGCCACCAGAACAACCAGGACAACTGCCCCTACATCTCCAACGCCAACCAGGCCGACCACGACGGGGACGGCAAGGGCGACGCCTGCGACTCGGACGACGACAACGACGGTGTCCCCGACGACAGGGACAACTGCCGGCTCGTCTTCAACCCGGACCAGGAGGACTTGGACGGTAGGTGCCCGTCTGTTCCTGCGGGGACGTCACCTCATTCTCCTGGTGGGAGCACGGCTGTTGCGCCGGGCGTCTTGCGGGGTCGGGTCCTTGGGAGGCAGTTTCTTTTGCTGGGTGCACGTCTGTGCGTGGCGGGTGAGGAGAGCCCGCGGCGTCTGACTTTCAAGCTTCCATGATCTGGACAGAAATGGCCGTTACACACGCGGTGAACGGGGATTGGGCGAGTGCCGCCAGGGAGGGGACGGGGGTCGCGTCACGGTCAAAACAAACAAAAGCAGCCACAGTGTGACATGCGGGGGAAGGGCTGCTCTGCCAGTGGCTGCGTGCATCAGTGTCCGCAGCAGCGCGGTCTCGAGGACTGACCACCAGGGTCGGTGCCGCGCCTGCGCCAGAGGCCACAAAATAGGCCAGTTTGGCAGACGCAGTCCGCCTGTGAGCGTCAACACCCACGGGCAGCGGGACCCACGAGTGCCACGGTGTGTCCCCCGCGCCAGCCGGCCATGGCCCCCTCTCCCCACGCCCCTGCCTCGACCTCACCCAGAAACCCCCAGGCAGCCCCCGAACAAGGGGGTCCACGTCTCCCCGGGAAAAGCCACTTCGGTGTCAGTTCTGCTGCAATGCGAGTGGACCGTGGGAGCAGGGGCGAAGGCCACAGCAGACGTTGCCGGAACTGTCGGAGGTTCAGCCTGATGTTTCCGACAGGCGCTCGGAGTCCCGGCTGAGTTTGGTGTCAGACGCCGGGGGTGGCTCTGGCGGGAAGTTGCGGATCTGGCCTTGGCTGCAGCGTTTATCCTGGGAAGGTCAAAGCGTGTGGACGCCGACCGCGCTCTCCAGCTATGCATTTTAGGGCGGAGAGCGTTCTCCGCACCAGTGCACAAAGTACTTAGTCTTAGGGGTTTCGGAGAACTGTGTATTCGCTTTTCTCAAACAGGAAAGCAAATGGCAAACCGCCGTCTCCGCCTTCTTGTTTTTATATCTGCTCTGTGTAAATAGGTGACGGGAGGGGTGATATTTGCAAAGACGACTTTGACAATGACAACGTCCCGGACATTGACGACGTGTGCCCTGAGAACAGTGCCATCAGCGAGACGGACTTCAGGAACTTCCAGATGGTTCCCCTGGACCCCAAGGGGACCACCCAGATCGATCCCAACTGGGTCATTCGTCACCAAGGCAAGGAGCTGGTGCAGACGGCCAACTCGGACCCCGGCATCGCTGTGGGTGAGCGTCTGCGACACCTCGGCGCGGCCGGCACTGCTCGGTGGGGGTGGGGGGCCGCGGAGGATGCAGGCTGCTCTTGGAGGTCAGGTGGGGGCCGTGGTGTGACATTTCTGGCAGCCCCATCCTGTCTCGCCTGCGAAACCGTCTAACTCATCTCGACAAATACATCACGGGGAGCACGAATCTGTCTCTCCCAAGTCTGAACTTTCAGTAAATCTTTTTATTTCATGGACTCGTTCTATAAAATGTCACGCCATGCAGTAAAAACTTGGTCCTAACTCTAAGCTGGCTCTAAGCAATCCCCCAAATTTCATTGTTCTCCGGGAAAGACCCGGGCTGGTGCAGGGGAGAGCCCGCCACCCCCACACCCGCTGTCAGGGGAGCAGCCGGCCGGGACCCCCGCAGGGTGTCTCTGACGCAGAGCCGTGACTTTGTGCCCAGGCTTCGACGAGTTTGGGTCTGTGGACTTCAGCGGCACCTTCTACGTCAACACGGACCGTGACGACGACTACGCGGGCTTCGTCTTTGGCTACCAGTCCAGCAGCCGCTTCTACGTGCTGATGTGGAAGCAGGTCACGCAGACCTACTGGGAGGACCAGCCCACACGGGCGTACGGCTACTCCGGCGTGTCCCTCAAGGTGGTGAACTCCACCACGGGCACCGGCGAGCACCTGAGGAACGCGCTGTGGCACACGGGGAACACGGAGGGGCAGGTGAGGGCGCCGCGGCGTCCGGCCCGCTCTGCGCTTGCCCGGCGTCTCGGGGCTCAGGCCCCGCCTGCCCCACAGGTCCCCTGCTTTGGTTTTCCTGATTTTAGCTCAAGTCACAATCATCTTAATGATCTTGCTGAAGTGTCTGCTTTACTACAGACGCCCTGCCTGGCATGTTCACACACACGGTTGTTAATCCTCTTGCAAATTTAAATTATCTCCACCCCTTCCAGAGACAGGGAGACCCGAGTATCAGAAGGTTGAGTGTTTTGCTCGGAGTGTCCTGTCCAGGAAGCAGAAGTCCCAGGAGTGAATCTGGGGGTCTCTGGGGGGCTGTGGGGCCCTGTGGTCCAACCACACTGCTCCTCACGGGGGCTCTGGTCCACGGTAGAGGTTTCCACTGCACACGCGTCAGAGCGAGATGCAGCAACAGGAGCCTCACGGAGGGATTTGCACAGTCGTGTTTGTTTCCCTCCTGGTGTTGTGAGCGGGGGTGAGGGCTCAGGGGCCAACTGCACTCAAGGCCAGTGTGTTTCCCCCAGGTGCGGACCCTGTGGCATGACCCCAAGAACATTGGCTGGAAGGACTACACGGCCTACCGGTGGCACCTGACCCACAGGCCCAAGACGGGTTACATCAGGTGAGGTCCTCGCGCCAACTGCATTTCTGCCCTCTGAGTCCCCGTGGTGGCGAATTTGAGCCGTGATGGACAAATAGCCCCCGTGAATTCTGATTTCTGTGTTTTCCTCTGGGTCCTCCAGCTTTAAATATCTTCTGTTTTGCATCCTGCATCTCTACTATGTACTACTTATTTAAAAAAAGAAAATCAAAAGGAAGAAAATTAAATTTATCTTGTCAAAATAACTTGGAGGAAGATGACTGTCTTTTCTCCTGATGAATACCCTGGGTGTGGGAGAGAAACAGCTGCATTTTTTCAAAATTAGCATGTGCTTCATTTGGAGAATGGATTTACAAATATCAGTCCAACAGAATTTTGTGCCGTTGGCATAACAATTGAGGACTTTTTTTTTTTTTTTTTTTTTTTTTTTTTTTTTTTTTTACGAAGTAAATAAGAACCAAGATCTGTCTGGAGTCTTTGCAGACGCTGGGAGAGTACTGTGCCCAGCAGCAGCGAGCAGAGCTGTGCAGGGGCAGCGCGGGCTGGTGGCAGGGGTCTGATGCTCCTCGACACCTCCTGACTGTTCCCTCTCAGACGCTTTAGTGCCTCCAGAGCTCCCCGCCCAGGGCCTGGAGTGCAGAGCTGCCCTGGCCCTGATGCAGCTTCCGTAGCGGGAAGAACTCGGTGCTGGTTCCCGGGAGGTGGAAGGGTCATCTGACTCCCCCAGAGGGTGACTAGGACATGCTCCTCACGCTACCAAGTGGCTCTTTGGCTCCTAAAGTGGGGACTATGCTGAACCCCTTGCCTGGGTGGTTGCAAGTGAAGTCACGTTGCAACAGCGCATGAGTTGCGAGGAGGAGTGCTTAGGGCCGGTGGGTGCGGTTTAACCGGTGGCAGAGTGTGTGAGGAGAAGCAGGTGCTGCCCCTGGTCTTCACGAAGGCCGGGCAGAGGGCTCAGGCTCCCTTGCATCCACGGCCGGTAGCTGGGGCTGACCTCTGGCCTCTGCTGAGCCGCGTCTCAGAGCTCATGTTTGCTTTCTTTCTCCTCTTTGAAAACCATTTTTAGGGTCTTGGTGCATGAAGGGAAGCAGGTCATGGCAGACTCAGGGCCGGTCTATGACCAGACCTATGCTGGCGGGCGGCTGGGTCTGTTTGTCTTCTCCCAGGAAATGGTCTACTTCTCGGACCTCAAGTACGAGTGCAGAGGTGAGTGTGGGCCAGCGCTTGGGTGCGAGGCCGCGGCACACAGGTGGGAAGGGAGTGTGCGTTTCACTTTTCCTTTCACGGAAGCTGTGCATCGTGCCAATAGCCCAGTGCGATACATACGTCAGGGTGTCTGCTTGTTCCTAGCAGATGCTTTGTTGGGTCAGCTTGGGTGGTTTTTTCTTTGTTTTAAATTGCACTTGGATGCTTTGGTGGGACAGAACTTTCCGATTATTCAGAGGTTCCATGAATCCCCCCGTCCTACACCCTGTAGCTTCCTGTGTTGTCTATACCTCCTGGGCTCCTCAAGGCATTTCAGATTGCTGCCCTTGCTAAAAAGTGGAGGAAGGAAGAAAGGAAAGGAAGAAAGGAAGGGAGGGAGGGAGGAAAAGGTTCCTCTTTAGTTATCTCTCTAGGAGTATATTTGAATCAAAATATTGTAGACCTGCAAGGGAACTTGAATCCTCTCTGGTCTAATCTCATGCCTTCATATGGACATGAAAACATTCCCCTTCCGTAGATGAGGTGAGTAAGGCTCAGAGATGCTTCTCAAAAATCACACATAAAGTAAAGAAATGAAAGGAAGACGAGAACCTTGCTTGCTTCTGGTGAAGTTTCTTTTCCTTATGTTAGGTTGGCTTTTGAGACTTTGCATGTTTCCATCCATCCATCCATCTGCCCATCTACCCTTCTATCCACCTGTCCATTCATGCAGACATCCATCTGTGCGTTCACTCATCTTGCCACCCATCCATTCACCTGTCCACCCTTCCATCTTACCCATCCATTCATTCTTCCTTCCTCCAACAATTCATCCTTCCATCCATGCATCTATCCATCCACTGTTCCATCCATCCACCCATCCCTCCTTCCTTCCTACCATCATTCCTTCCTTCCTTCCAACCATCCATCTTACCCATCCATTCATTCTTCCTTCCTCCAACAATCCATCCATCCATCCATCCACCACTCCATCCACCATTCCATACATCCACCCATCCTTCCTTCCAACCATCCATCCTTTCATACAACTATCCATCCATCCATCCTTCCATCCATCCTTCCTTTCTTCCTTCCAACCATCCATCCGTCCATCCATTATTCTTTCTTTCCTTCCTTCCATCCATCCTTCCTTCTAACCATCCATCCTTACATGAATCCATTCATCCATCCTTCCTTCTTTCCTTCCAGTCTTCCTTCCTTCCTTTCAAGCATCCATCCTTCCATCCAAGTATCCATCCATCTATCCTTCCTTCCATCCATCCATTCATCCATCCAGCCATCCAGCCTTCCTTTTTCCTTCTTCCCTACATCCATCTTATCCATCCATTCATTCTTCCTTCACCAATCCATCCTTCCTTCCTTCTTTCCTTCCAGCCATCCATCCGTCCATCCAGGCAGCCATCCTTCCATGCATCTGTCCATCATCTATGTATCTATATATATTATAAATGTCATTTTTAATTCAAATAATGATATTTTAGGTTACAGGTAAAGCAAAATAAAACAAAACCCATGGTGCAGTCATCCTAATTCTATTTGTTGTTTTTTAGACATCTGAACAAGACTTGCTGCATTTCAGTAACGCCCTACACGTGCTGTGGGCCCTGGACCCCGCAGTTCGCCGTGGTCCTTGCCGCTTCCCTCTCGTTAGCAGCCCCTCCTGTCCCTGCCTTAGCTCTGTTGGTTCTGTGCTCCTGCCGTCAACCCAAGCCCAGGTGCCTGCAGAGGACACACACCGACGGACCCGGAGATGGACATCTCAGCCCCCACGGGAACCCACTCTGATACATGAGACTGTGTGGAGTGAAAGCCGGCGTGCCATTGCATTGCTTTTCCTTGTTTGTTTAAAAAGAATGACGTTTACATACAAAATGTAATTACTTACTGTATTTATGTGTATATGGGGTTGGAGGGAATATTGTGCATAAGCCATGGTCATAAATTAAGCATGAAAAATATTGCTAAGCCGCTTTCAGTGCTTAAAGTTGTCACTGTTCTTGGATTAGGGCTGTTCTACGGTAACACACAGATCCTGTCGGATCAATCACAAAGACGCGCCAACTCGAATGTGAAGGAACGGCGTGCTGAGGAAGAGGTTAGAGAGAACAGTCTTGTGCGACGTGGCCCGATACCAAATGATGTAAGATACCAAGTAACCAGTTAGAACCTAGGAAACAATTGCCAATTAACCCAGTGCCGCTCCCCCGCCCTCCCGTCCCGCAGGGAGAGCCCTCACGTGCAGCGGAGAGGCAGCTCTGTGACAGAACGGACACCCTTGCAGAATCGGGGTCACGTGGCTCCATATGGACGTGGCGAAACTTCATTTCAGTCGCAGTTTAGCAGAGCAAAGTGCTCGCTTAGTTTCACGGCTTGGCTTTGCCGTGCAAGGTGGCTGCTTGTGCAGCCGCGGCCCTGAGAGGGTGCCCGGCCGGTCGACATTTGGTTTCTCGGTCAGATCTCTGTGGCGTCGAGAGACTTCCTGGCCCGTTGTCACCCGGCGTAGCGTTCTGATCTCTGGGACTTTGAAGAGTGTCCTTCCCCATGTCTGCTACTAGACGGCAGACCAGCAGGCAGCCCAACCAGAAAGAGCACTTTGGCATCTAACTCCTATTCTAGGCTTCGGAAATTATGGAAAAGTTGCTTTTGCCTACTTTGGTGACACATTTCATTAAGGTTCCAGTTATAAATGTTTTGTTAATATTTATTAAGTGAATATAGAATGCATCTTCATTCACCAATAACTTATTTTCAATATGCTGAGTAACACATAAGTAGTATAATTCTAGAAATAAACATACACCAAGTGCATCACAATATAAAGATACAGTTACAGCAAACATTCTGCCTATCAAACTATCAGGCTTTATAACCTTACATTGTCATGTAAAGCATGCTGTAAAATGCAATGGCATAAGTAAATGCCATTTATAGCGAAGACTTGATAATGGAACCTTAATGTATAATGCTGCCAGTGATTTTGATTCAATATATTTACTGTTATCCATCTGCTGTATATAGAATGATTTTTATTTAAACGCTGAGGAAAATCAGCATTTAGTCTTGCCAGACATACCCAGTAATCAGTAACACAGCAATATACACAGTTTGATTTAGTCTTTGCTTTAAGTTGCATGATCTTTCTGCAGGAAAAAGCAGTTCAGCCCACGCTGCATAAGGGGTTTCAGGAGGGGAGTTTGTCTGATGGGGACAAACGTTTCTCCCCTTCCTGTTAATAGTGATCACATTTCTCTGTCAAATAGGAAGGATACATAACTTTTGTCTTAATTTACACATTTCATTTTGATAAAACTATTTTTTCTTTTTGGCTTTGTTTTGTTGCACTTTTTACATTTTTTGTGTGGAACTGTATTCCCAAGACCAACAGAGGTCGGGTGACGCCATCGAATGTCGTAGCTGCGAAGAGCGCGTAGGTTTCTCCCAGGGGTTGTTGGGTCGAGCCGCGGGATGGTGTGGGAATGGTGATGTGAATATTGAGAATGTAAGATATTTCTTGTAAATTATTTATGTTTTTTTAAAACAAGTTTCTCGTATAGGTTAATGAAACTTCATTTGTTTTGCCAAAAACTGTAAATATTTATTTATTTGTTCACATGGTCAAAATTTCACCACTGAAACCCTGCATTTAGCTACAGCCTCATTTTTATACTCTAAAGGTTAATAACAGGAAATAAACTGTAAAAAGGTTTTCTATAAACGAATCTCTCTCCCTTTTTTAAAAAGAACGAGCAGGGTTTCTACGGGGGGAAAGGGAGAAAAACCCAGACGTGAGAGCCGCCGGCGTTTGCTCCCGGGCCGTGACGGCGCCTGCGCTCGGCCGCGGGTCCCCCTTGCGGTCCGGGCCCGGGGGCAGCGTGTCCTCGTGGGGAGAGACGCTCCTTTCGTCACAGTCGCCGTCCCACCGAGCGCGGCGCTGTGCGCGACCCAACCCTTCACAGCCCCGTCCCGCTCTTCGCACTGTCACACGGGGACGGACTTTCCAGGGACCGGGCAACACGACGGAAACGGCTCAGCACGAGGGGCCTCGCCGGGGGGAGCCGGGCGCTCTCCCGACGCGCCCGCGTTCTGCGCGGCGCCCAGGAAGGGCGCGAGTCACACCACAGCCTCGCTCGCCTGACACGCGCACCACTCGTCACGGGAGGGCGGCAGGACGGAAGCGTCCGGACTCCTGCAGCGGGTCCCCCGCTTTCGTGGGGTGGCTGAGTGTTACGGTGGAGTCGAACGCGGGAGAATCGCCTGAGAGACAGAGACAGAAAGCGAGAGACAGAGACAGTGAGAGAGACAGAGACAGAGCGAGAGAGGGAGAGAAATTGGGGACAAAACCAGCATAGTTGGCTGCAACGGGCTGGGATGAGCGGAGGGTGGAGCTCTGAGGTATCGGGAGCGGCCGTGGGAGGCGTCGGAGTGACAGGGCTGGAATCTTCTCCCGTCGCTCTCTGGTCTCCTGCTCGCTGTGTCACAGTAACACGAGGACGAGGACCCTGCTCTCAAACACCTTCCGGGGAAATGGAATTGCATCTGAAACACGATTCAGGTACGAAAAGAAAAACTATCTTGACACCTATTTTCTCACTCAACTCTAGGGACAAAGAGCTGGCTGGTGGGTTGACCAGTTTGCACCTCCTTCCTCTCAGGCTGCTGTTTTATAACGTTTTCTTAAAAAAATCTTCCATGCATGAACAAAGGCTATCTTTTGTAAGAGGAAAGCCGTGTTTTGCCCGAGAAGCTCTGCATTTGGACACAAACTCCGGAGCCGTCCTCCCCTGGGGGTGCGACCCTGCTGACCCAGCTCTCGGGAGGCTCGGTTCTGTCGCCCGTGCGGGGCCACGTGGGCGCGATTCCTGGTACTTCACCCTCCAGCCCTTCACTGCATTCCTCGTGCCCCTCAGAACTTCACGTTCACTGTTATCGGGGCCATACCGGGGGTTTAGAGACGCTCCCTACTTTTTCTACAGCCAGAATTAAAAATACTTTTTGTTTTTAGATCCATTTCAGTTGTAGCCGGTTTTGTGTAGTTCATTTTGAATTTTGGTTTCCCCTACAGTTTAATAAACCACAAGTTTTACACATTTTAATAATGCTGAGTTATGAAGGTTTTTTTTCATAATGTTTTCTATACTTTTTTAGTTTTTAAATTGAAGCAATCTTCAACATTTTAAATACAGAATTCTTACTCAAGAAAAGCTCCAAACCCAGAAATAGCCACTACATTTCTTGCCAAAACATGACATAAAAACATTTCTTTGAAAAAAATTAGCAAATCATTTGTGGTTCTCTTAATGGCTAGTGAGACCATATCTAGCTTTTACTTGATTATGAAATGGAAACTTTCAACATTTACTTTAAATAAGTAACGTGAATTTTGTCAGACACCAAGATTCCAAGTTTCCCAGAAAAGCTCAGTGATGATTCAAGAAGGGAAAAACTCAGATTCGGGGGGCCAGATGCCTCCGGCTACATGCACCCTCCCCATACTCGCCTCATCTGTGCTGCTGGCCGGGGCGGGGAATGCCCCCCAGGGCAGGGCCCGGCAGGCGCAAGTCTGTGGCCAGGACCAGCGCAAATCCAGGGGCCCAGGGGGCGTCGGGTGGAAACGACGTATCTTCTGGGCTCCAGGGCCGGGCAGGCTGGAGACGGGGCCGCCCCAGCGCGGACTCCGCTGTCCAAGGGAGCTGCGTTCATGTGCAAGGGGGCAAGAGTCGCGCGAAGGCAAATGAACCCCGCAGCAGAGACAGCTCGACGTGGCCGTAGGAACCTCCGCACCTCAGATGATGAACTGAGACGCACTAACGCAGCCACCGGACCACTCGGCAGCACTTACCACGCGCCCACGTGTTCCGGGCCCTCTCCGTGTGCTGGCGTGTGGCAGGGAGGACGCAGATCGAGCTGCGGCCTGAGGGGCCGTGACCCCCAGAGATCTTTCAGGGATCAGAGGCTGGAAAGGGCAGAGACAGCCCCGGGACCCAGGGACCGGCACTTTCTCTGGGGACTGGTTTACGTCACACCACCCAGCGTTCGGCAAACCACAGCGTCCGACACTGCGTGGAAGAGCCGTGCGGCAGGCGTCGGAGGGTTTGGCGGGCGCGGTGTGTCCCACAGAGTCCCTGCTGCTGCCAGAGAACGCGTGTGTGCATCGTGTTTGTCCGTGGGAAGCAGAACGTGGTCCGACGTGCTGGGCGTGAAGCTCATTAATGTGTTTGATCCTTTTAAACCCCATCGGGACACTAATGCACAGATGTCAACGGAGTAAATCGATTCCACTCTGCAAAAAATTACAGCCTTCCGGTTTGCAAAGAGCTTCCGTGAGGCTGTGTGGTCCCTGGACCGTCCCTGGGCCCACCCTCCTCCTCCTCCGCGGGGGCCTGCGGGAGCTGCCGGCTCTGGTCCTGCTGCGCACCCCCCCCCACCCCCGGCCTCCTCAGAGCCACCCCCGGAGGCCCCGCAGTGTGGATCTGGCAGGGACCCCAGGCCCGGAGGCACAGGCTCCCCCTGACACAGCGACCAGTGAGACCCTCCAACAGCCAGCAGGCAGGTGACCCGTTTCCCTCCCAGTTTTCCTGTGGAGAGGACGGCCCCGTCCCAAAGGTCAGCTGCGGCTGGAGCCCGTCCCTCTGCCGGTCACTCTGTGGCGTCCCTCCCGGGCCCGGCCCCTGGGCTGCCCCAGCAGGACCGCGGTGCAGGCACCGCCGGGACGTCCCCCCGGGTGCTGGTGCTGGAGTCCCGGGAAGGCCGGGTCCGGGTTCCCCGTGTGTCGCGGTTGAAGGACGCTGAAGTGCAGAGGGCGTGGGGGCCTCTCCGCGGGACCAGAGCTTTCGGGCGCAGAGCTGGGATCGGAAACCGCATCTTCGCACTCCTAGGGCTGTTTCTGTCAGAACTAAAACATCAGACGGAAATCCTCCTGGGAAAACAGACGAACATAAGTGTACGACGTGAAACAGGCATCAGACAAAAGTCTAAGATGCTCGAATCCTCATTTTTTCATGTTTTAACTACCTGGTCTTCCTCTAAATTAGTGTTTCTGGCCAGGCGCGGTGGCTCACGCCCGTCATCCCAGCACTCTGGGAGGCTGAGGCGGGAGGATCGTTTGAGCTCAGGGGTTTGAGACCAGCCTGAGCAAGAGCGAGACCCCGTTTCTACTAAAAATAGAATAATCAGCCGGGCGTCATGGTCGTGCACATCTGTTGTCCCAGCTACTCGGGAGGCCGAGGTGGGAGGATCGCTGGAGCCCAGGAGCTGGAGGCTGCAGTGAGCTGTGATTGCACCACTGCACTCTACTCAGGGCAACAGAGCAAGGCCCTGTCTCAAAAATAAAATAAAATACATTTTTGTTTTTTTATATACGTTACATTGTCTAAATAGGTACAAATTCTCTTTATTACGTTACATTGTCTTATTCTCTATTTTCCTGAAAACAAACTAAATCTTAGGCAGCAAAATACTTTTGTCTGCTTTTGATCTCACATATGTTATACTTTCTTTCAGATAGCAGTAGATCGAATGCCATATACAGACGTTTTTACAAGTCATCTGAGATTTAATTAAGTGTTGTTTTTATTTCAAATATGCTGTGCTTTGGAATAAAAGAGTGTCTATAAAATATTTTCAGGCTAACATATTTTCTGGCTAAGGGAGCAGCATTTGCTGGTGGACACGGTTCGCTCACCCACTGCAAACACACGCAAACACACACACATTCACACACACACTAGCAGAGCACAGCGTGGACACGGAGTTTATGATATCCTCTACGCAAGTTTAGAAGCTAGATGCCTGTCTGGGAATAGACTAAAATGTCTTTACATTTTGAAAGACCCGAATCACATGAGTAAATGGGAAAGACGAGGCTTGCGTTTCCCAGAGTACAGAAACGCTAAGTGATAGGTGGGAAGGGATTTTAAGTCCCAGCTGCTGGAAGCAGGAGGCAAAAACTTAATAGCTTCTTTGGTCCTCAGAGGTTTTCCAGACTCGAGCAGGGGCCTCGGACACTTTGCAAGGAGGAGTTCCTGGTCTGCGTGTATCACGTGTGCACTTGCTGCTGCAGAATAATATTCGGATTCTGAATAGCTGAAAAACCGCGTCCCCATTTCCTCTGCAATGTCTCGTATAGGTAAATTGCACAGACTACGGGACACGGAGCCAGGGACGGGAGAGCGGATTGTGTGAAACCAACTCTCACGTGAGGGCGAAAAGCAGATGCATTTGTGTGTCATCCTTTCCTGTTTCTATAGCAACGAAGCAGGAACAGACACCATTGGTATGCAAATCATGT